TATGAGGAGAGGTTAAAGCGACTGGGACTTTTTAGTTTAGAAAAGAGGAGACTGAGGGGGGATATGATAGAGGTCTATAAAATCATGAGTGGTGTGGAGAGGACCGAGAGAGAAAAGTTATTTATTAGTTCCCTAAATAGAAGAACTAGAGGACACCAAATGAAATTAATGGGTAGCAGGTTTAAAACTAATAAAAGAAAGTTCTTCTTCACACAGCGTGTAGTCAACCTGTGGAACTCCTTGCCAGAGGAGGCTGTGAAGGCTAGGACTATAATAGAGTTTAAAGAGAAGCTAGATAATTTCATGGAGGTTAGGTCTATAAAAGGCTATTAAGCCAGGGGATAAAATGGTGTCCTTGGCCTCTATTTGTCAGAGGCTGGAGAGAGATGGCAGGAGACAAATCGCTTAATCATTGTCTTTGGTCCACCCTCTCTGGGGCACCTGGTGCTGGCAACTATCGGTAGACAGGATACTGGGCTAGAAGGACCTTTGGTCTGACCCACTACGGCCGTTCTTATGTTCTTATGTAATTTCATCTTTCCCTTTAAGTTTTACATTCCTATCATTTACAAAGTGTACACCTAACCATTTTATTTTTAACGTTCAGTATGTCTGGTAGCTGGCTCTGAATCATACTGTTTTTTAAAAACACAATCCCAGCATGTGACAACTTGGTCATCTGACTGCCCATTATTTGCCATAACTGGCTGTGGACAGTTAATCTTTGAGTCTTCTTCTTGTTCTGTAAATACTATCTGTGAAGTTGTTCTCTCTGAGGAACAAACAGTAGATGCTCATAGTTTTTACGGAACACTCCCCTGTCAATGTTAATAAATTACGATTTAAGTGATGATTTTATTATGACAACTGGACCTGTCCATACATTTTCTCCACCCAATTTGACAGAAAACACAGTCATCAGTTTCCAGACTGAATTTCTCTGACTGATGTCTATTGCAAAAGTGTTCATAAGGGGTTGGGTGGGTTGTTTGTTTGGGTTTTGTATCCAATTTGGCTACACTCTTCATTCCTAGTCACTTTGAAAATTGGTTATTTTCCAAAGCTGAAACAGTAATTTTCAGTTGTCTTCCCATCAAGAGTTTTTCTGGACTATATCCAGTAGTCGCTATGAATGCTGATCTGCAGTTCATAAGAATGGCCATCCTGGGTCAGACCAATGGTACATCAACCCAGTATCTTGTCTTCTGACAGTGATCAATGCTAGATGCTTCAGAGGGAATGAACAGAACAGAGCAACTGTATAGCAACCCAGCCCTCGTTATCCAGTCCCACCTTCTGGCAATTGGAAGCTCAGGGACACCCAGAGCATGGATTTCATCCATGAGCATCTTAGCTAATAACCATTGATAGGTATATCCTCTGTGAATTTATCTAATTATTTTTGAATGAATTTATACTTTTGGCTTTCACAATTTCCCCTGGCTCCACTGGCTGACTGTGCACTGTGTGAAAAAGTACTTCCTTTTGTTTCTTTTAAATCTGCTGTCTACTAATTTCATTGGGTGACCTCTAGTTCTTGTGTTTTGAGAAGAGTATATAACACTTCCCTATTCACTTTCTCCATACCATTCAAGAGTTTATAGACCTTTCATATACCCCCACTCTCCAATCATGTTACCTAACCTGAACAGTCTCTCCTAAAATAGAAGGTGTTTCATAGAACACTAGAACTGGAAGGGACCTCAAGAGGTCATCAAGTCCTCCCGCCTCCCCCCCCATCTTCATGGCAGGACCCAGTGCTATCTAGAACATCCCTGATAGATGTTTATCTAACCTGCTCTTAAATATCTCCAGAGATGGAGATTCCACAACCTCCCTAGGCAACTTATTCCAGTGTTTAACCACCCTGACACTTAGGAAGTTTTTCCTAACATCCAACCTAAACCTCCCTTGCTGCAGTTTAAGTCCAATTCCCTTCTACCACTCAGCAGGGGTGCATGGAGCAGAGGGGCTGGAGAGTGGGATTGGAATCCAGATAGGGACCACATATTTTGAAGACCTCTAGTTACACTAAGTAACCTCCTCCTTTTCTTGGAGCGCTGGTCCCTATGTTGATTACAAACACAGGAGAATGGCGAGTAGTACTCTGAAAGGAGGCGGGGGCAAAGGCTCTCAGGAGGCCCAATTGGATATGATAACATGATCAACAGTGGCATCCATTGACATGGAATGAGCAATAGCATAATGCATGGAGAAGGTGTGTACAGAAAACAAGGTTACATGACCTGCCAAGGTATGTCTACCAGGAATGCAAACTTGGCAGCCTGATCCCGTGCCAAGTGGGTTGTGACCCTGAGTGGAAGTGTGATGACCGAGAGGTTGCAGAACGTTTCAGTGCAGCAGGAGATCCACTTGGAGAAGCACTGCAAGGATAAGACAACATTTAACCATAGCAACGAAGAGTTGCGAAGACATGCAAAAGGCTTGAATTTGATGGAGGGAAAAGGCCAGTGCATAAGTTTAGGGCAGAAGACTGAGAAGTTTTACTGTGGTTGAGGTGAAAAGAGGAAGCCACCTTCAAAAGGAATTTGGGGTGGAAACATTGCAAGGCTTTGTCTGTATGGAAGATGGTAAAGAGGGTCTGGCATCATGGCCACTAGCTCACTGACATGACATGCTGAGGTGAAGGCCACCAAAAAAGACAACCTTTATAGAAAGGGAAAAGATGGCAAGAGGCTCAAATGGGAGGTTGGTAGGGGCTGAATGGACCAGGTTGAAGATCCAAGGCATGACGGGATGTTTCATAGGACAAAAACCACTGAGGAGTCCCCAGAGAAATCTGGAGGTAGCTGAATGAATGAAGACAGAGAGAATGACCCTGGGAGGAAGGAAAGCACTGAAAGCAGCTAAATGAAGAATACATCAAGGCACAAATGGTGGAGATGGATGAAGTAGCTTAGGAGTGTAGGAATGAAGAGAGTTGGTAGGAATGTTATTTTGGCTGATCCAGGTCACAAAGCAACATCATTTGGCAGAGTAGCACATTAAGTGGACTATTGTCTGCTATTAGTTGGATATTGCAGATAGTTAGGATGGGGCTCCATAGAGGAGGAAAAGTATACATTTGTTTAAGGCATGGAGGTCCAGGATGGGGCCACTTCTTATCCTTGGAATGAGAAAACAGGAGTAATAGAAGCGATGATGATGGTAAAAGTATGGCACAGGTTCTATTGCACCCTTGTGGAGTAGAGCAGTTGCTTCACTGTGGAGAAGGTGGAAGTGGAAAAGGCCCAGGGGGAAGGAAAGAAATTCAATTAGATGTCCCTGACAGATGATGTCCAGCATCCAGAGGTTGAAGGTGATCAAACTGCAAGTGCAAACAAAGAGTGCTAGATGACTCACAAATATGATGGAAGATATTGTCCAGAAGAGTTATGGGTGTTTCGCAGGTCTCAATATAAGATTAAAAATGACTGCTTGTGTCATTGGTGGAAAGTCGGAGTAGCAGTGGTGGCTGAGGGAGTGTGCCAGGGCTGTTGAGGGAAAAGCTGATACTGAAGTGGTTCTAAGGGTTGCTGAGGGTACAGCTGATAGATGACACAAGGACAAAGACAGTTCAGACTGTCTTGCTGTTTGAATAGTTGTATGTAAGGCTAAGTCTGTTTTTAATTGTAGCTGCTATGAAAGGCTATTACCTGCAAGGCCAATAACTAATCTGTTTCTAGTGTTTTTACCTTTTACAGTTTCATCAAATCAGAGTTTTCTGTTAATTCATGTAACTTTCCAATAGAAGATGACATAGATTCCCTTGGTTGTTGAATTGTCCAATTCTGCAGATATAAATGATGTCCCAAGCATAGCCAGAACTCTGTCATAGTTGTCTTTCTGACTGTCTTCTGCGAAGGAAAAAATTTAAAGATAAGTCTGCCTGCATCCCTAGACCATAAATTAAAGAACATTCCTGAATGTTTCTAGATTCCTAGTGGAATTCAATAGCAATATAAAATCTTGAAAACTGTTGTTTCCAGTCTGTCTATTCTGAAGGTCTGCAAAAGTTGATTTTCGCTAAGGCATTTAAAATATGGCTTCAACTTTGTTGTTTTTCTGCTTGCAACGTCTATTGATGCTACCTGTTTCTGCTCTCCTCTTGCACCAGTTAGGCTAGCTTCACTTCTGACATTATGACATGTGCCACATGAGACCTGGTTACACAGCTTCTATCCAAGAGATATATGAGCTGTGTTCCTGTTAAGATATATTTAATACACGTCTCCCTCTAGCAATTACCAGCTTCATTAAGGTATGTTACCCACTGTGCTACCTACAAGCTGAACAGTGTAATTCAGTTTAGCATTTCACGACACTTTCCCTCATCTGCTGTCTCTTCCCCAACCAATTCTCTCTCTCTCAGCAGTTTCAGGCTGGTGGGGCACTGCTAGTGAGAATATCGAGAGCAGGCCTGGTCAAAGAGTTTGCAGGGCCCAAGGCAGCACACTGACAGTGGCACCCAGCCAGTGGATGCTCTAGTTTAAGTGAAACCCAGCTGAGAGGTTACAGAGTTCAGCCCGGGCAGCACAAGTCGCTCGCTGGATATATTCCACAACACCTCTAGATTTAAGAAAAATGTAAACTAGAGCCTATTTTGATGTCATCTGCCATGCTTTTACCATTCACTATGATGTCATTATACACTACTGGAAAACTTCCAATAGAAGTTGGAAGTACAACTATTAGTACAAACTGTCTGAGACCCCTGGCTTGTAAACAGCGCTTATTTGACAGACCCAGCGTTTATTAAAACATCTGGACAGTACCTGCGGCATGTAACAGAGTAAAAGATTCATATGGAAGGTAAATGTTTTCATTTTTGAGGTTACTGCATGATTTTCTGTGACTTGAGACCATTTTCAATACAGCTGAAGAAAACTGCATCAACTCCGTGTTTCAGTAAGCTGGTGTAAGTTTACCCCATGTGTGAGACCCAGGGGTCCCTCTCCCCTGTTCCTCTCCCTTACATGGGAGACTCCCTCATCATGTTACGGGAATGGATATGGAAAGGAGAGGGGAATTCTCTCAATGGAACAGGGTTTCTCTTCCCCTCACTCTGACCAGGGCACCCCCCTGGTCTGATCCCAGACTGGAAATCTCTTCTGCCTGGCCAGGGCATCACCTCTGCAGGCCAGGCTCTGGGTGTGGGCAGAGGTCTGTTGTGAGCAAATGCATGACAGGCTGTTAGTCATCTCTGTCTCCTCCCCTCTATGAGTGTGGGGGCTGGAGCCCAGCACCTCCCCTGGTACCTGCCGAAGGGGCAAGGAGTATGGGGGCTGGCAAAGTTTGTCTTTGTGGTTGGCTGCAGCTGGGCAGCTCCCAGCCAAGGCAGCGAGCAAGCGGCCGGGTGGGCTCCAGGCAGTATGGGGCCCTTTCTCTTTGGGTTGAATGCTGGTATTTTGTCAATGGTATGCTATCTATTTTCTGGCAGAAATTACAAATTTTTCAGAGTAATTCTTCAAGTTCAGTTCAATAAATGCTCCTACCAGATCATGTAAAGTGCTAAATTCTCAATTACTAACTGAATAAAAATGGATTTTAAAACCATTTAAGTTTTTAAATCCATGTGTGATGGGGTACTCCGGCCCCGCACTGTAGGTCAGCCTGTGGGCGGGGCCCAGCTGGCTGAGAGCGCCCCTCCCCCTCCCTTGCTGGGCATGCTCCCTGTTGAGCAGCACTATAAAAGGCCCTGAGACCGCTCACTCTGGGCTGACCACCGAAGGGGAAGGACCTGCAAAGCCAGCTCCACGGTCAGAGGAGCCCACGCAGCCTGAACCGGCGCCGCAGCTTCTACAACCCCAGCAACAACTGCAGCCACAACGACAGTCCCGGTCCCGGAGTCCAGGGAGAGATACAGGGGCGGAGAGATGCAAGGAGGTAGGAAGCAGCCCAGGGTGGGGAATTGCACTCCCCGGGTGCTTGGCAGGTTGAGGTGAGAAACCCCCTTGCGGAGTAAGCAGTGGACCGCACCACTGCCAATAGGGCCCTGGGCTGGGACCCGGTGGAGCGGGAAGGCCTGGGTTCCCCTATCCTCCCCCTCTGCAGTGCTCTGGAACAGAGGCAGGCCCAAAAGCCTAAGAACTAGGCTGCAGGGCTGTATTTACCCTGAGAGGAGAGCTGTACAAAGACTGTGCTGCAGGACCTTATTTACCCCCAGAGGGGAGCTTTAAATGGACTAGGCTGCAAGGCCAGATTTACCCCGGGAGGGGACCCTTATAAAGACTGAGCTACAGGGCCAGATTGACAGAGACAGTGGGGCGGCAGTTATGCAGAGGCCAGCCATTGGGCTGGGGGGCCCTGACAGGCAGACTCGCAGGGGACTATAATAGGGAGACCACTGTCGGAGGGAGCCGCGCCCCTTGACACCATGGAAATATTTTCCATTTTTAAGATTACTAAACAGCCACTGTTATACTGGAAATCAATTTTTGCTGAGTCTCGAAGGAGCAAAAATTGATCCGGGCAGGAAACAGAACAGTTAGAATCCTCACATCAGTAATAGAGCATATGTGAAACATGTTGGTCTCTGCTAATCTTACAGTTCTCTTCTAAACAATCCTGAAATATTAAAAATGCAGGGTTCATATCTACATTGCTTGTTGGGGAGAACTGCAATCTGACATTCAAGATCATGAAGCAGAATTTCCGAGTATAAAGCTAATAAGAGGTATGACAGAGTCTCGGAACTTCAAACATATGTTTTCCCAAATGTTTAATCAGCAAGAGTTAACACAATCCAATGCACACCCACTGGCATTGGACTGACCAATATTGAATGTCCTTGGGGGGAAAAAGAGAGATACAACACTAGGATTAAAAAAGATGATTAAAACATTGCTTAAAAAAGAACCATTCAGTATATCTGGGTCATGGGATTTGTAAAAAAAAAAAAAAAAAACAGCACCTAGTGAAGTGTGGATTATGATGACAAATATAATTAAACCCTACCCAACTCTAACTATCGTTACAGAACAGAAGAAAAGCCAGCTATTCAATTTCCTTTTGCTGATTTAATGACATTAAGGGCAAGAATATAAAAAAACTGGGCAGCTTTTCTCTTGCCTATAATTACTTGTCTTTTGGTCATCAAAGCACCTCATGCAGTCAGATGTTCAAACTACCAAGTGACCTGAATTGGGTCTGCAAATAATTGCAGACACCAAAAAGAGACCACACAAAAACTGAATTTGCTCCTATCTGGGAAAGATGAAACATCTGCCTCCTTCATTCTAAATGCCATCCAGTCCATAATCATCAGTTCGTTTGCCCTTTGTACCCCCTCAATGAAATGGTCTCAGTGAAACTACTGAAGGCCAGGGCCATCTGAGCTAAGATCACATGCCCTCTGCCTGCTGCATTAACCCCCCCACAGCAAGAATCCTACAGGAGACACATTGGCAATGTGTTCATTCATTTATGATCCCAACCGTTCTCTTTAAAGCTTTGGAGATTTGTACATTTCACTCTTAATGAAAAAAATTATATAAATTAGTACCTGGCTCAGTGCAGTCTGAGAATTCTTATGACACCAGGTTGGGGCAATGCCACTATGAAAAGTCACTCCCATGATCCCACCTCTAACTCTGCTCCTCCCTGTCAAGGAAGCCCAATCCTCTGGAACACCCGGGAAGGGTCTTTTGCAAGGAGGGGAAACAAAGGTCCTGTGACCTAGATGGGAACATCTGGCTGATATGTATTTATGCAGAAGGAATTTCTTTAAAGAATACTAGTGGGCTGCACCCCATGCTCGCTGCGCTTGCCAATCCCTCCCTCCCCACGGCCACTTTTGCTTTCACACCCAGGGAACATGATGTCATTCTGTTGCCTGGCAGCAAAACCTCTCTCTCTCTCTCTCTCCCGAAAGAAAGAATTAACCAATGGAACTTCTTAGCATTTTGTTCCCCTCTGCTACTTTTGATTAACTCATAGGAGTGCAAGAGCATCAACAGCAAACAATGATACAGCAGTCTTCAAAATTTATTCAGTATTTAACAGGTTTAAGAGTTAAGGAGCCTTACTAAGAGATGCCTTCAGAATATGTTTCCTCCCCCCATCTTTGTTTTTACCACAAGCACACACTTGCTGCATTTCCCACAGAATTCCATCACACTGCTACTTAGTTTTTTCCACAATTCATTGTTCTATGCACTTGTATGCATGCTGTTCTAATAATTACTCAGTATGATAATTCTTTTTCATTCCTTTCAATAGGGGCACAATTTCTTCACTTTTCTCACAGTGATATAACTTTGACACCAAAAATCTTTAAGCATACTGTGCATTATGTTATCTTTCATGTTAGCAGGCTAGTCAGTTCAATCACCTAATAGTTCACATAACTATATCTTACTACTTTCATGTAACTTGTCCTGGATTCTTATTCTGTATTCAGCCACTTCATAGCACACAGAGTTGAAACTGAATGTAACCTCTTTTCCCATTTCTATTCAGGGTACACACTGGTGAATAAGATACAGATGAGGGGAAGGTTTTTAAGCTGCAAAATTGTGCCATCCATCCACCTCACTCACATAGTGAACATTTAACTGGGTCCTGCGCAGGTTTTTATGGCTTCATACATCAAGCCAGTATTTCAGAGCTGAACCTCGTAAGCTTAATCCAAGGACTCAGACCACCTCTGAATCTTCTTGTTATACTCTTGTGATGGGGGAGATGGTATCAATGGTTACATCAGTCCATGAAGGCTTGTCTTTCCTTCCCTTTACATGCAAAAAATGTCCCCAGCCATATCCCAGGTCTCATTTACCTCTGGGAGTTGGCCCTTCTAGCCTTTATCTGCCCTGAATACTTGCTGTAAGTTGTAATGAATGAAACATTCTTATATT